CTCCTGTTCTTCGGTTCATGGGCTTGATTAGTGGCATTGTAAATTGCTTAAGCAAGGTATCTACGTGTAAATAGCATCACGAGTTGATTCAGTACCGAAAGGTTTTCAGGCAAGGATAACTTTTAAGGTGAAAGCATTTTTCCGACCGCCAAGCTGTGTGCCTTACATCATGTTACCAGCATGATGCTCTAAAAGTTTGTCACTTTTTGTGTGACATATGACAGAAAAATCACCTCTAAATCATAATAAATTTGTATTTGTTAAAAAAATTGGGTAATCTTGCGTCACGGCTAGAAGCCTCTCGAGCCATTGTGTGTGTGTTATCTTTCCTGAAATCCCATTAACCGCGGCTGAAAGGAAGTGCATTGTGGTGGCTAAAGCATTAAAGGATGGCTCCGTAGCCCCGGTCTTCCCTAATGAGTCATTTGAGAAACGGGCACCCTTCCACTGAAAACCAAAACAAAGCATGAAGTCATTTAGTTTGACGTTCTTAGAAGATTTAGTTCCGAGAACTTCCCGGTGTGCAAAGTGTGCAAAATGTGACTCATGGTAGTTTGAGAGAAACTTGACTCACGATATTTCTGGACCCGTCAGAGAATAACCTTTGCTGTAGTGCAGTTAACAATACACATCCCGTCTCACCATTTGTTTATAATTTGTTTCTAAAAACTTAGGGTGCCAGATATTTGATAAGTTATATTAAAAATCCTGGTCAGTGACGTTACGCCGGAATTTACGTTTTTGATGGCACATTTCTTTAAATTTAGCAATGAAGTCATTAAAGAATATTGGAGTTAGATGAGAGGAAGGTTGTTTGCTTCCCAAACTAACATTCAGAATGCCCTAGTGACTTGTGGAGTAATAAATTACACCACACAGAAAACGAAGCATCTAATCGAGATCTTGGACGCCTATTAGAACAGGCGCCCAAACGCTCAATTAGTCGCTTCGTTTAGAGCAATGAGCGTTCGTATGATCGGGGGTACTTCCGTCGATGTTTAGGTCTGCCGTGGCCTCTGTGTCTCAAAACCACCGAGATGATTTTCTGCGCTAAATGATGACAGTTATGAAGGTAAAACGGTGAGTTGTCAGCATGTAGTACATAGTGCACTGTCGCGAGCATTATGCACGAGAATAGTTCGGTACTCGTCGTATTTGGAGCACCTGTCGGCTTTCGATGAAGCTCTGGCCCAGGCAACCTTTTGTACGCTAAGTTTGGGCCCCAGACTTTTGAATTTTGTGGCACATAAACACAGCATCAAACATGTTGAGACCACGTGCCCATTAAGATACCCTTAAGCAAGCTGGTCTTCTAATGGTACGTCCTGCATTACGGCCTACTAATCGGGCGTACTGTAGAGCTGAAATTTCTAAACGGGTGCGCGAATCTTTTTAATCAAAGTGCGTCTAATCAAAATCAATGTACCATAGCAAGTCATGTTTAACCACCTCTCTAAAGCTCTCCATCTGTTCAATATATATATATGTGTATAAATACACAAATATTCACAAGAAATAGTGAACAGTACGACACACAAAAAGAGAAGGACATAGAAAAGAAACGTGCGTGACACACACGCTCTGACTTGCATGTGGATTTCTGCACAAATGAAATAAAAGAACGTACTGAAATTCACACTTTCCCAGAGCGTGACACATACCACACAACACCATCTCACTAATGGGTCTTCGCCCCATAGTACCATCTAGGAACAGGTATCTTGTTGAAGCGGTGACACTGATATATGGCTAATGCAGGGGTATCCCAAAGTATTTACACAAAGCCCGTCCAAAGCTTCGCGTGTGGCCTTGTCACTATAATATCCAAATATTGTTCTGCCGTTGAGGTTTTAAGAACACAAGCAGGTATTGCAAATGTAGATGATGAACACCCACAATAGATTTCAGTGAATAATCATGATCTAGAAGGCGGTTATTCAGGTGCCGGCATGTTTGGCCCACATAGCTTGTACCACACGTTTTGGTATTATGAACACTACGTCAATTGAACACGGCACATCGGCGAGGCTATGACGTTTCTGGCACTTGGCTCTTGAAACGTCTTACGCTATCAAGCAAACCATGAAGCAGATTTTCTCAATTTGTTTCGGGGAGCCGAAGACACCACAGGCACATCATATCTTTTGGCTACTCTTTTTAAATTTTGCGATATTTCTTGCATATATGAAACAGCCATCTGTCTTTTCTGGTATCTCTAGGCTTTTTGGTTGACTCTTTATGATCTTACGCTCCAAGGCCCCCACCACTTTTTCAAAACCCGTGGTGGCAAGCCCGATGAGCGACGTCTTTTAACATTTGAGTGTTAAAACTGCCCCGCACGGCGTGAGAGCAGTACTTTGTAAGCCCAGACCCATGTATGGAAACTGCAATCCCCCGTTTAGCAAATTTCGAATGTGCTGACGTACAATAAAAGGATCCCCTTTTTGAACCTAGGTGAGAAACTCCGCAGATAGGGTTTGTGGGAAAAGTTAAAAATAGGTCTAGAAATTGTAACTTCCCGTTTAAGGGTTTTTCAACTGTGAGAATAAGACCAAACCTAAACCTGGAACATACGTTCATAACCGTATCAACATTATCACCTTCAGCAGACTAGGGACACACAGACAAAAAATCATAAACGTATCAAAAAACCTTTGACACTTGTGACCTGGCAAGGACGCCATCAATTACACGCTCGACACTTGGTAGAAAAATATTAAAAAAATATATAAAGTGCACTTCGAAAGTGGAATAACTTAACTATTGGCATTGTGAATTTGACGGCTCTCGATGACTTTGTAGATGCATAAAAAACCACTTTAGCAATTATTTTGTTTTTGCACCACTGAATTTTGCAATTTTGTTTTCTTTAACCTCTACTAAAATAACTTCTTGAATAGAGGTGGAAGTATTCCAGAACACACATACAAACAAATCACTGATAACGGGTTCGACGCAAGATCGAATAAACACACCTGACGGCTATAAAAAGTAAACATTTTCCACCCAATGTTTATAAAGTTAATATAGAATTGGAGAAGTCTTAGAAAGTTTTCTAAAGAGAAGATGCTAGAATTTTTCAAGAGCTCTTCAATACAGGACTTAACTGAGGACAGTAATGCTTCAAGGGGAAGGTTATAAAAAGATGTTGTGCATCAATGCTGAACAGGGAATGTTTGTTGAAATCGTTGTTCTTCACAGCTTCCATCATTGCTTCAGAATTGCGCAACCAAAATGGGGCCCTTAGTTCGCAAACCGGAGGAGAGCTTGTGAGGGAAGCTAGCCATATCGCGCTTCCATGTACGCCTCTCACTGAAAATGGCACGAAATGGGCAGGCTTCCTTGAGTTTTTTGCACTGAAGAAACCCTCAAGGTCAAGCCCTGCTGCTTTCTTGATGTTCCCAGCCATTGTGTCAAGGAACTTCGATCGCAGTGCTGTAATGCTTGCCCTTTGACTCGTTTTAGGGACACTTGCACCTGCTTGAAGTTCTTATGGTGGCACAGGTTTTGTCAATATAGTGCTTTTTTTTCGGCATCAAAACGTAGGATCATTCCTTATCAGCCTCCGAAACTGGAAGGTTATTATCGTCCAAAAAGAAAATAAGAGGACGAGTATTGTATGTATGTATAGGGTGAATATTGGTCCCTCAAAGAGCGTCGACATATTCAGCGACATGGCATGGACAATACAACGCGATTGAATTTTTTTATTTATCTTGCATGCCATTTTTCTAGGTAGCCCCGTGAGCTCCGGGGGTTGGAGAGTCGGTTGAAGGCAGAACTTGAGCGCAAGGACTAAAACCGTTTTGAGCTGAGGCGCAACATGAATGTCTCTCAAAATGGTAAAATAACCTCCAGCAAGTGGAGTTTTTTTTTTATAACCATAGTTGAACTCGACATAATAAAAACTCTGCAACATCCTATTGGACATAACTGAGACAAGGGGACTCGCAATATTTTTGACGCGCATTATATTAATAGCTTGGAGGACTTCTCCATTAGTCACCCAACAGTGACAGTCCTTCAACCAGAAACCTTGCTGTTAGTTAGGCCTATAGGCAAATACTTGTTAGTTGTACGGTGCTGTGTGCGTGAGCCACGCTCTGGCACAGCGTGATTTTCAGAGCGTTCTCTTCTTCCTTTTGCGTGTAAATTGAGTTGCGAGTCAGCGCTCGTGTCTTGCAGGTTCCTTTTCCGAGTCCTGGTCGTTTCGTGCGCTGTACCATGTCATTGTACCAACTCGCCCAGCTTACCACACTTCTGTAATCACCAGGTAATCGAGATGCAAACGCGAATACTCACTAGCGTTTTTCAATTTATGAGCATCTCAAGAACATTGTCGCAGAATAGATAGCAAGGTTTAGGAATTCCGGAGGCCCATATCTTGACGTTGCGTCCACGATCCTTGTCACTTGTAAACGAGGTGTCCTTAGATATAGTTCCCAAAGTTGAAAAGAAAAATAATTAAACGCAGCGTCCGTCTCTGTTGATAGCTTTGTCAAAATCACGTCACTTCATTGGACGGTACAAGCAAGTATCACAATTTGCATTATAAAATTTAGTAAAAAGATTCGTCGTTGCTCATCTTACCGTAATACCCACTGGTAAATTTATATAATTCCTGTAATTTTAGCGATCACCCCTTACGTATAAGTTCAACAACTATAGTAATACATTATCAAACTTTCAGACTGTATACGAATGGCACGCAGCAGGGAAGAACATAATAAGTATTCTGGTAAACAACGCTGGTGACATTTTTTTTTTTAATCTGGGACAACAAGCGTTACTAGTATTCAAATTACTTCTTTTCTCAGTGCCACAGAAAACAGGCGCCCGAACGACCGACGAGTGCCCACTTTCGCGGGATTTTTTATCGACGAGAAAAATCACTGCATCCAAAAAAACTTAGATTCCGGGATCATCCACATTACCGACTACCGACGCACGTAATCGCGTAAACCAAACAGAGAAATGCAAGAAAGCAGTGTCAGACTCACCACACTGGAAAGTCGGGACACGCCTTCCCGTCGAGTGAAAGTGTGGTCGCTATCCTGCACTCCGCCTGCAAGACACTCGATCACCGCTGCCAAGGCACGGGCGACATTCCGGTCCGTTTTAGAGTTTTACGGATCTGGACGCAGCACGAGTCGTCAGAACGGCTAAACGGCCTCAAGACGGCAACACGGACTGAAGGTAGACCGAGCAATGTTTTGCACGGCAAATCGGCGGAGGCGACAAAAGCAAACGTCGCGGCAGTTCGCCGCCGACAAGAACGTGCTCTTCGGTGCTGGAGGTGACGTCACAGGTGATGTCGTGGGCAGCCGGAGGCGGTCGTGTGCTCTCTCTCTCGTCTCGTCATCAACTGGGCGAGGGAGACCGCCGCCGGTGCGACGGCGCAGAATCAAAACCGGTCTCTCGAAGGCAAACCATTTTGTGCCAGCAGAAAAAAAAAAAGACAGGATGAGATCGCAACGTGTTTGTCGAACGACTCTCTCGCAAGGACGTACGGGGAAGTATTGGTTGACCACCGCTAGGAGCGTGACAGAGCTTCGCCACACAGGAGTTGCACGGGAAAAAACAAACATTGTTTACTAGTGCAATGTCCGAGGACTATTTGGGGGTGAAGCACGTAAAGATTGACCAGGGGCTAATAGCCATGCAAAAAAGAATAGCACCCGCTTCTCGTTTCTAACAACAACAGCAGCAAAAAGAAAGCATACGAAAACACCTGCAACATTATATTTAATTTGCATTCCTTTCACTAGTAAGCAAACGGTGGTCGTAAATTAGTTCTGGTAATACAACTCGAAAAGTTTGAGAACTGCGCCTCGTTCGCTTAGACGTTCTGAGCGCTTCTAGGTGTCCCGTACTCTTTTTTTCATAAAATACTGCAAACAAATCCGTGATATTCTCGTACCCAAAATGTTCAAAAGTCCTCTAAATTTTCTTTTTACCCTTTAGATTACCACAATGCAAACTCCATTAAAAAATAAAACTGAGAAACCACCGTCCTAGTTTGTCTTAAGAATTGTCAAACTCATGCTAAAACTGCAAGAAGTTAATATGATCTCAGGTAATATAAACAACGGATAGGATGAGACTGATTATTGCTTCATTACTTAACGAAAACGTACATTTTTTTTCAATTTGATGTATTCTAACAAACTTAGTTTTATTAAATAAGAAAGCAACAAGCGTATTTCTTCACTGCCAAGGGCTGTGATTTTGGACATAATTTCTGAAATCATCGCACACAAAATAAAATATTATTTCATTTATTGAAATCCGTTACGCATCCTCAAGTGGCATTATGTAAGGAAGGGGATTGCAAAGTAGAATAAGAGCACAAAAACAACCAAATCAACCACGTTTAAGTACACATGCATCAAAAACTTTGAAAAGTAGTTAAATCTTGGCGAAAAAGAACTTGATCACTTTGACAAACAATGTTATCGGGCAAATCGTTCCAGTATATTACAGCAGTGTGCGCACTCGTTCATTTTACTTAACATGTATTGATTTCCGCTTTAATTTTTCAGGAGCTGCGCTGTTTAGTCAACACTTTCACGGACCCGCTCATATAAACTATGTCGCCGAAAAATTCCAACGACTAACAATATTATTATCCGTCATAATCTACTTTTACTTCTCGCTTTAATATTACCATAATCAACACGGTTGATGCATTTCGGAGGTGTTACCTAGTAAATTTTTGAAGGGTGCGTTCAGATGAGGACAGTCATGGGTTTGTCAGGCCCATTTTTTTCAATTAAACATTTATATGAGGTAGCGAAACATGTTAAAACAAGAGAATGAACCTTTCTTTTGCAAAGAAAAAAAAATAAATGTCTTGTTTTCGTAAAACCAAAAATCCAGTCTGAGCAGCAGTGTAACAACGATTTTCCCAAATGAGTGTGGCCGCAACTCCTAGGGCCACATGAATAAAAATATTAGATTCTACAACGTAAATATTTTATTTGTAACGCACGTTAACTGGTCTATATGAAGGACTGAATTTATTTTATTTACGTTAATATTTTATGTGAGATAAAATAACAACTTTGCTTCCTTGGAACCCTTTCATATTTAGAGTCGATGACATGTTAAGAGTGAAGAGAAAACATCTCCTACCTCTGGGAACTTTAGCAGAGCGAACATTGGAGAGGAGGTGTCCTCCTCTCTTGCCTTCCCTCTGCTAAAGTGAAAATGGCGGGAAAGGTGCTTCCATTTTATACTTAACCTTTTACCGACTACAGGCATTTTTCGGCGATTTTCAACACATCTGAGAGGTAAGTTTTTTAAACTGAATATTTTTGTTCAGAGTGCTTCCTTTATATTTAACAAAAATGTAGGGGTGTGCAAAGAGTGATTTTTGAAACCGAATCGAATACGAATACGAATCGAGTAATTTTCGAATAGTTTTCGAGTTACGTAGGCAGCTGCCAGAGAAGAGTACAGATAATAAAATTAGTTTATTGTTCCAAAGTGTTTCTTAAAATCGTTGTAAAAACGCAAGTCTTGACGATAATGACTAGAGGTCTACAATAAATGCTAGACATAATATCACGCTTCACGTGGATGCTGAACATAAGATTACAGTTCGCATGGAACTTAATAAAAAAAAAAGGAATCTTACGCCTTTTTTTCGCAGATCAGAAAATGAGGAGACTTGTTGGATCAGTTTGAGGTACTTACTGTTCCCGTGCGAAAAATCAAGCTTTTCCGCATGTTCTCCAGACAAAGACCCTCGTCGGCTTGTCACAGTGTTTGAGCACATTGAAAACGAACTCTCGCTTGGAACCTGGGTTACCGCAATTGCCAGGTATTGTTGCGCCGCTCATTCGGGGTCTTATATTTATTTATTTTGCCTACAGTTTATCACCGGTAGAATGTGCTGTCGGTGCCTTTAAAAACTGGAGGCTGAAGGTAGTCGTATACCTTTACCTTTAGACAACTCATTGCATCCTTTTTCTTTGACAACGCCAAGCTGTTCAATATCTTCCTCACTGGTTTGAGATTGCTGTTCGACAAAACTTCTTTCGGACGTGAACTGTGTTGAGTCTGGTACATCTTGAATAATTGTACTTAGTAGGAACTCTACATTCTCTGTTTCTTCCTTGTTGTAGCAGATGTCCTTCAATGGAGGATCAAGAAAGGTGACAAGGGCATGAGGTGCCTGTGTGCTTACGTCCAGGAATCTTGTTTTAACTGATCTGCCAAAATTCTGGGAAAACGCCTTGTCTTGAGTTCCACTTGTGCATTCGGAAAGTAACAACTTCGCACAGTGAACATGTGGAACAACCATAGAAAGTGTTTAGAAAGACTCGGCAGAAACAGCTCTTGTGGCTTTTTTGATTGATTGCAGCACCGACACCGAGGCTGATACAAGACGCCATTCGTCCGTGGTAAAGTTCTCAACCGTAACGGTTTTGCCAGGTATAACAAAACAGCGGCCTTGAGCTTCAGCAAGCGTGACCCAGTGGCGTACTCTCTATTCCATCTTGTTGGTGGATCTTGTACAAGCTCAAAAGGAACTTCTATGCCCATCCTCTTTTTTGTATCTTGCAGTCTTGCCCTTGCACAGCTGCTCCATTTGTAGTGTCCCACTATAGCTCGTGCTGTGGTGCACACGCTTGCGAACCCCTTGGTTTATTTTGTGAAACCTTGAACGCAAAGCCGCAAAGTATGGGCGAAACATGCAATGTGCACCCACGCCGTTCGGGCAATCGCTGAAGCAAAGCTCCTAGCGTTATCAGTGACCACAAAGCAGGAAAGTGTCAGAGGTATGCCCCACTCCTTAAAGTCGTCCTCGATTTGAAAACACCGATTCTCCGCAGTGTGTTGTTGACGCACGCAGCGGCACGGAAGCACAAAACTGTAAGGCAGGAAGTCCTCACTCAGCGAATGGCACGTCACTGGCACATAACTCTCGTCAGCTCGTAACGTCCAGCCGTCAGTGTTGATGGCGATACACCCCACGTCCTTCCTAAGGACGCTGTGCAACAAAATGTCGAGGGAATACCTAGCAGTATCGTATATTTCCGGCACGACAGTCCTCAAAAACGTCGTTTGAAATGGAGCTTCGTACTCGGGCACTGCACATTTCATCAGCTCCAGAAGAGCTGGTTCAAATGTGTAGCTTTGCAAGCCTATTCCGATGAAGCAGCCGATTTTTTTTTGTTAGTGCCCTGGCGCAAACGCTTTGATTGCTCAGCCGTTGCCTCAAAGACGGCATCATATTTGCTGATTGAAAACCTGAGATTGTGGTTTGAAAAACTTAAACTCGTGAAGTAGAAAGAAAAAGGTAAGACAACGTCTCATTTTGAGACGTTGTCTGTCCTTTTTCCTTTCTATTTCACAAGTTTCCGTTTTTCAAACCACAGTTTCAGGGTTTCAATCATCATGTATAACTTACACCAGCTCGCCTGCACTTTAACCGTTTTTTTTCATTGATCATACTTGAATCTTCGGACTTTGAAGCATTACGTTGCTCCGCCCCAGCAGCTGCGCTTTCGTACTACTTGCAGGCCCCTGGATGACGCTTTAGGTGATTCAACACAGGCGTCGTCGTGTTTGTTGGCGTATTCAGGATGGCGTCACACAGAGGCACTTCAACGAAGCAGCGCAAGATCAGTCGAAAAACTTCCACACTCCGCTGCGCTTTCTATTGGAACAACTACCCGCTTCTACCATTTCTACTCCCTCATATTGAGCGGCGGCACTGTTGCAATCAGTTCTGAAACGTCTCCATGACAGGCTTTCTGAACTCTTGCACGAGCAATCTCGTGAAAAAGCGGTTCCTAATGGAGGCAACAGCAACGCACGAATAGAGAGAAACTGTTGCTGCCGATGATGATCATTGACTAAGTCCTAGGAGAAGAGGGTACGTATTACCGTCTTGCGGCTTGTATGGCTGGCGCATAGGTGCGTTGTGGAACGCGTGTGAAAGAAATCTCGCGGCGCGACATCGTACGGACTATTGTAAAATTATTCGAAAAATATTCGAAACGTTTAAAAATTATTTTTCGATTCGGTTAACGAATCGAATAGTTTAATATTCGAATCGTTATTCGGAAATTGCGAATATACGCACACCCCCACAAAAAAGCTAACTCTCAACCTTTATGCGTTTTTTTTACAGCGAAACTGTATATGACTCGTTGGTCAGGTTTTCTCGTGTCTGTCGACTGAGCAGTAGTCGACAGATCAAATAGTCGACAGAAAACCCACGCGCACGCCTTATTTGTTATCACGTGGTTTTGACACTTGTTTCAATAAGAAAGCCACAAAAAAGTGACAAAACCACGTGATAGACGATAAGCACGCAGCGCTCGCCGTATGCAATTCACTGTAAAAATTGCTTT